TTTGTGATTTTCTTCGTGCTTTACTTTCTCCTCGCATAGTATATACGCTTGACTAGTGAAGGTGTTTGATTTTTGCCTGACGAAAGGGCCCTCCCTACTCTGGTCTTTATTTTGCTGAAGTCCCGACCCTCATCCCCATATTCAACAAGAAGCTATTTCGCAGAAGGAAATAGTGTTTCGTTCCCGACAAGATATTCAAAGTCTGAGAAAGGCTGGGGATTTGAGATCTTGTGCATGAGAAGTTCTGGGGTGAGGGGTATTTGTGCTAATGCGCCACTTTGCGCTGTACTGATCCGCTCAGTTGCCAGAGTCTGGGGTTTTTCGTCCAGGCGACGTGTATAAGTTGTCAACACTTGTATCAGTTATTACAGTCAATACACTTACTTGTGATACTTCCCTTTGACTCTGCCATAGGGGAGGGGGGACTCGCGTATATCGGCTATATAGGTATGTCCAGCTTCAAAGGGTATGCTTTTTTAAGACCTTTTGGTCAGAAATAGACTGATCGAATTTGAACATTTTGATCTCAAACTGGGTATGATTTTTGCGCTCTAATCTTGAATTAGGCATGTTTTTAGAGGAAGCTACTTCTTTCATCATTATCGATAAGACCAGCAACTAAAGCCATTCACAAAACCTTTAACATCATTCTGAACTAGGGAACTAAGGCAGGTACGGTCTGAAACAGGATGTCAGGCAGCCGCGCTTGATTTTAATATGACGCAGCACCCTACGTTTTGTTGTCAGTGACGCAGTATATTTTTCTGTTCAAAAAGGACGTCTCATACATGTGTGACCACAATTGTGTAATTGTTCCCCCACTTTTGCCTGAATATTATGAAGCTAAAGTACAAATGCTATCGGTGTTTTCATGGAAAGCAGCTCTTGGAAATGCCGCGGAACGTCAAAATACAAATTTCCTTAGTTTTAAAAGCGAGCTCTTAGAAGTAACGCTATTCGAATTGTGGAAGAAAATTTGACAAATCAGTTTAGCTACAAATCTGGAAAACTGGGGGTTCGAGACTTACGATATGAAGAAAGCCTTATAACTGAAAGCCATACTGTACCTATTTTGCAATATACCAACGTTAATTAAAATAGAATATGAATTACCTACCTTCCACAATATATCGCATCTGTAGTATCGTCCAAGCGCTCCAAGAGCGTGTTCTTTACCCGTAAACAGCCACAGAAAAGGGGAGGGTTTAGTTACCAGGATATATAAGTGACTTGTTCGTCGTAGGTAATGATGTGAAGTGCTTGAGAGGCACCAAGAAGCTCGTAGTCCCACGTAAGAAAACTACAAACTTTGGCTTAAAATCTACAACTTTTATTGGTGCCAAAGTGTGGAATTCTATACTGGATGAATTACGTTCAATGACAATCCTTAAGGAATTTATGAATGATGTAAGAGAGCTTAATTTGTGATGGAAAGTTTTCTGTGATTCCCTGTAATAATTTTCAGATTTAAGTCTGTTTATTGTTTATTTATTGATATAATTAGAATGTTAGTAATTAATTGATCATGTATGTTTTTTTTGTTTTTGTTTTGTTTTTTGATATTTTTATATTTTTCTCGGCATATTAGCATGACTCTATTGCTAGGGGCCTACACAGCCTCATCAATCCGAGTTGAAATAAAGTTACTTACTTACTTACTTACTTACTTACTTACTTGCTTGCCTGCCTGCTTGCTTGCTTGCTTGCTTGCTTGCTTGCTTGCTTGCTTACTTACTTACTTACTTACTGAGGGGATGAATAGGGATATGCAAATCCGCCGATCCGAGCCTTCTTTCCACTTAATCCGTCGATCCGCCAATATTTTTGTTTAAGTCCGAAACCACAACCACATCCGGAAACAGAAGTGTAAAACTACAAAGGTAAACTGGTAAATGTAGACGCTACTGTTAATTTCGCACAAATAGTAAAGAAGCAACATACTTGACGACTATAACACAGGACAAATCCAATAACAGTCTCACACCCGAGTTTAAATGAGCTTCTTTCGAAAAAAGAAATAATTTGGATGAATTCATTAACATACCGACAAAGGCTGAAGAAAGATCTATGATCCAAATTTCGTTTAGGACCCAGGATCCCAAAATCAAGGCCGGCAGAACCCGGAATCCGCGTCAAAATTCACGGCTGATCCACGATCCACTGTGGTTTCAAAATCCGCGAATC